CAGGAGGGCTGAGGTGGGAGAATCGCTTGAACCTGGGAGGCGGGAGATTGCTAGATGGTGCCCCACCACCCTCCAGCCTGGGCGACAGAGCAAGACTCCATCTCAAAAAGGCATAAACACTCACAGTGTGGGTGTAGGGGTAGATTTAATCTGAATGCCTAACCATCATTAGTAGGCATCCAGAAATGCATTTTTTTTTCTTTTGACGGAGTCTCACTTTTGTGCCCAGCTCCTCCCCTAACTTACTCTTGCGGTTAATCTCAAGCAGAACCCCTACACCAATCTAAGCCTGCTTTCTTTTAGGTAAAATGGACATAGACGGGAGTGGTAGCTCATGCCTGTAATCCCTGCACTTTGGGAGGCTGAGGCAGGTGCATTACTTGAGGTCAGGAGTTCAAGACCAGCCTGGACAACATGGTGAAACCCCCATCTCTACCAAAAAATACAAAAATCAACTGGACATGGTGGCACACACCTGTAGTTCCAGCTACTCAGGAGGCTGAGGTGGGAGAATCGCTTGAACCTGGGAGGCGGAAGTTGCTAAGATGGTGCCACCACCCTCCAGCCTGGGCGACAGAGCAAGACTCCATCTCAAAAAGGCATAAACACTCACAGTGTGGTTATGAGAATGGAGTTAATCTGAATGCCTAACCATGCGTAGTAGGCATCCAAGAAATGCAATTTTTTTTTTTTCTTTTGAGACGGAGTCTCACTTTTGTTGCCCAGGCTGGAGTGCAGTGGTGCTGTCTCAGCTCACTGCAACCTCCGCCTCCTGGGTTCCAGTGATTCTCCTGCCTCAGCCTCCTGAGTAGCTGGGATTACAGGTGCCCGCCACCATGCCTGGCTTCTTTTTTCCTTTTTTTTTTTTTTTTTGGTATTTTTACTAGAGATGGAGTTTCACCATGTTGCCCAGGCTGGTTTTGAACTCCTGACCTCAAGTGATCTGCCTGCCTCAGCCTTCCAAAGTGCTGGAATTATAGGCATGAGTCACTGCGCCCAGCCAAAAAAAAAAAAAAAAAAAGCAAATATTGTTACATTAGGGGCACAGAGTAAGAGTTTGCAGGTATGTAAGAATCACCTAACGAGAGTGTTAATATGCATATTCCCAGGCCCCACCTCCATCCATCCAGTTAACAAACATATACCAGGGGCCTCCTCCACACAAGGCACTGTCATAGTTGCTGGGCATTCCAGAAACAGAATGATGGTCCTCCCCTCTTCAAACCGACATTTTATTTGGGTGAGATGAACAATAAACACAAGTAAAGCAAAGCTAAGGGGATAGAAAATGCCAGAGTAGGGGAGTGGGATTTTATTAAATTTTAATTAATTTATGTACATATTTATTTTTTGAGATGGGGTCTTGCTGTGTTGCCCAGGCTGGAGTGCAGTGGCACGGTCATGGCTCACTGCAGCTTCCACCTGCCAGGCTCAAACAATCCTCCTCTCTCAGCCTCCCAAGTAGCTGGGACTACAGGTATGCTTCACCATGCCTGGCTAATTTTTAAATTTTTTTTTGTAGAGATGGGGTCTCATTATGTGGCCCCAGGTTGATTTTGAACACCTGGGCTCAAGTGATTGTCTCACTTCTGCCTCCCAACGTGCTGGGATTACAGGTGTGCACCACCACACCCAGCTGACTTTTTATTTTTTGTGGAGACAGGGTCTCTGTGTGTTGACCAGGCTGGTCTTGAACTCCTGGGCTCATGTCAACCTGGGAGTGTGATTTTAAATAGGGTGGTTAGAGGAGGTCTCATAGAAAATGTGTACTTTGAGGAAAGATGAAGTTAGCAAGGAACTTTCTTTTTTCTTTTTTCTTTTTTTGAGACGGAGTCTTGCTCTGTCACCCAGGCTGGAGTGCAGTGACGCAATCTCGGCTCACTGCAAGCTCCGCCTCCCGGGTTCACACCATTCTCCTGCCTCAGCCTCCCGTGTAGCTGGGACTACAGGCACCCGCCACCGCGCCCGGCTAATTTTTGTATTTTTAGTAGAGACAGCGTTTCACTGTGTTAGCCAGGATGGTCTCGATCTCCTGACCTCGTGATCCGCCCGTCTCGGCCTCCCAGAGTGCTGGGATTACAGACGTGAGCCACCGCGCCCGGCCAGCAAGGAACTTTCTTCTGGATATCAGGGTGTATTTGTTCGTGTGGGTGCCATAACAAAGTACCACAAGCTTGGAGGCTTAAACAGCAGAAATTTATTTTCTCATAATAAATGTCTTGGTCATCTCCCTGTCCTCCTCTCTTCTTCCTCCTCACCCACTCTACCTCCAGCCACATGGGCCTCCTTGCTGTTCCTCCAACATGTTAGGCAAGGTCTTGCCTCAGGACTATTGCATTCGCTCTTCTCTTTTCTTGGAATACAGTTTCTTTTGTGTTATGGGTCAAACTGTGTCCCTCAAAATGTATACATTGAAGTCTTACTCCTAGTACCTCAGAATGTGGCTGTATTTGGATATAGAGTATTTACAGAGGTAGTTAAGTTAGAATGAGGTCGTCTGTGTGGGCTAATGCACTATGACTGATGTCCTTAGAACAAGAGTAAACCAGGGCACAGGCAGGGCAAGACCACGTCACAGTGCAGAGAGAAGGTGACTGTCTACTGACACGAGCCCTTAGAGGAACCTACAAATATCCAGTCCTAAAAAGTAGAATCAAGCTGGCCAGGCGTGGTGGCTCACACCTGTAATCCCAGCACTTTGGGAGGCCAAGGCAGGTGGATCACCTGAGATCAGGAGTTCAAGACCAGCCTGACCAACATGGTGAAACCTCATCTCTACTAAAAACACAAAAATCAGCTGGGTGTGATAGTGAGCGCCTATAATCCCAGCTACTCAGGAGGCTGAGGCAGGAGAATTGCTGGAACCTGGGAGGCAGAGGTTGCAGTGAGCTGAGATCGCGCCATTGCACTCCAGCCTGGGGGACAAAGTGAGACTCTGTCTCAAAAACAAAAACAAAAAACTATCCATGAGAACACTTTGTGATGTGCTGTTTTATATCACAGAACAGAACCTGTGTGTTGGTTCAACAAGTTTGAAACACTCTTTTTGTAAAATCTAAGCAGTTACGTTTACAAACCTATTGAGTCTTTGTAGGAACATAGGAACATCCAGTCCTAAAAACCAGAAACAAACGATCTGTGAGAACATCTTGTGATGTGCTGTTTTATATCACAGAATGGGACCTGTGTTTGGATTCGACAAGTTTGAAACACTCTTTTTGTAAAATCTAAGCAGTTATGTTTCTGAACCTATCGAGCCCATAGGAACGTATGAATATCCAGTCCTAAAAACTAGATACAAGTGATCTGTGAAAACACTTTGTGATGTGCTGTTTCTTTTTTTTCTTTTTTTTTTTTTAATACGGAGTCTTGCTCTGTCGCCCAGGCTGGAGTGCAGTGGCTGAATCTCAGCTCACTGCAAGCTCCGCCTCCTGGGTTTACGCCATTCTCCCACCTCAGCCTCCCGAGTAGCTGGGACTACAGGTGCCTGCCACCTCGCCTGGTTAGTTTTTTGTATTTTTTTTTAGTAGAGACGGGGTTTCACCATGTTAGCCAGGATGGTCTCGATCGCCTGACCTCGTGCTTCGCCCGTCTCGGCCTCCCAAAGTGCTGGGATTACAGGCTTGAGCCACCGCGCCCGGCTGTGCTGTTTCATATCACAGAATGGGACCTGTGCTTTGAAGAAACCAATCCTACCGACACCTTGATCTTGGACTTCTAGTCTCAGAACTACTCCGGACATTTCCTATGAATAGAATTGTACAATACATGGCATTTTGTGATTTGCTTCTTTCACTGAGCATATTTTTAAGGTTCATCCATGTCGTAGTGTGGAACAGTATTTTCTCCTTTTTATGACTGAGTAATATTCCATTGTGTGGATTTACCTGTACTGGACATTTCATATAAATAGATGCATACAATATGTGGCTTTGGACGATGAATTTTAACCAACTCTCCTGATGAGTCTGCTTCAGGACTCTTGGCCCACACTGACTTCATGGAGAGTGTTGGGGACTATGGGAGAGCCAAGTCTACAAGCTACGGGAGGCTGGTGGATGGAAGGCTGGTTAGAATTCTTCAGGATCTGGGGAACTTCAGAGAGTGCTGAACCTGTTGGGACGTTGGATGAGCCAATACTTGGCAAATGCAAGAATATGAAGGTTTCTTTCTTTCTTTTTCTTTTTCCAGATACTCAAAAGCTGGGGCCATGTTACATGTGCCCGACCATTTCATTAGTTAATATCTTTTGGTTGCAGGCATGGCAACCCAATCTAAACTGACTTAAACAAGAAAAGGAATGTTTTGGCTCATGAAATAAAAAAGTTCAGGGATGGCCAGGCATGGTAGCTCCCACCTATAATCTCAGCACTTTAGAAGGCTGAGGCGGGCGGATTCCTCAAGTCCAGGAGTTCAAGACCAGCCTGGGCAATATAGTGAGACCTCATCTATACAAAAAATACAGAAATTAGCTCAGTGTCGCGGCACATGCCTGTAGTCCCAGCTACTTGGGAGGTGGAGGCAGGAGGCCTGGTTTTTTGTTTGTTTGTTTGAGACAGGGCTTGCTTTGTTGCCCATGCTGAAGTGCATTGGTGCCATTATAGCCCACTGCAGGCTCGAACTCCTGGGCTCAGCGATCCACTCATCACAGCCTCCTGTGTAGTTCAGAATGTTTTTGAGGTCATCCACATTGTAGTATGAATCAGCGCTTCATTCCTTTTTATGGCTGAATACTATTCCATTGTATGGATATACCACATTTGTTTAACCATTAGTGATTCGTTTTACGTTTTGTCAATTTTAACTCAATAAAAAAGTGCAGAGCATAGATCTGGATCAGGCACAGCTTAATCTTTATCAGAAGAGAATGCAGTTTCATGGAAGGGGGTCTATGCTTTCATTTCCCCTCCACACCAGTCCCCAAGCCAGGTGGCCTGGGGGGTCAGTTTCTCCCCTGCCCTTTCATCCTCCCCTACCCTCATTTCTCTGTCTCCTCACAGTTCCTGTGCCTTAAGAACATTAGAACATTCCTGTCCACCTGCTGTGAGAAGTTCGGCCTCAAGCGGAGTGAGCTCTTCGAAGCCTTTGACCTCTTCGATGTGCAGGATTTTGGCAAGGTGAGCTGCCCACTTGAAGCGCAAAGACTGAGTTTCAGTTCATTTCCATTGACGTCTACACTGGGCAAGCTAAGGGCTGTCAGGGGACAGGCAGACAAGCCAGACCAAGCCATATACAAGGTGCAGATAGCACTGGCTTAGGATATGTGGAACTGAGTTTGAGTCCTCACTCTGACACTTGCTGTATGACCTTAGATATGTGGCTGTGCCTCTCTGAGCCCCTGTTTCTCACTTTAAATATGGGAATATTATCATCCTTCCCTCTCTGAGTGGCTATGAGGATTAAATCGAAAGCGGGCAGGGCACAGTGGCTCCTACCTGTAATCCCAGCACTTTGGGAGGCTGAGGTGGGCAGATCACAAGGTAAGAAGATCAAGACCACCCTGGCTAATACAGTTAAACTCTGTCTCTACTAAAAATACAAAAAATTAGCCGGGTGTGGTGGCGGGCACCTGTAGTCCCAGCTACTGGGGAGGCTGAGGCAGGAAAATTGCTTGAACCCAGGAGGCGGAGGTTGCAGACAGCCGAGATCATGCCACTTCACTCCAGCCTGGGCAACAGAGTGAGACTCCACTTAAAAAAAATAAATAAATAAGGAAGATAGGAGCAAAGGGTGGGGCCCACTTAAGGGAACAATGGTATGGGGATGGGGAGGTAGAGAAAATCCCGAATTAGGTTCCCAAGAGGCATGGGGTCTAACCTCAGACAGAGCCTTGCAGTTGGAGGCTGTTTTCTGCCATGGGGGTGTACAAGGGGCTCACTGGGTGGCCACTGCCTCGTCACAGGTCATCTACACCCTGTCTGCTCTGTCCTGGACCCCGATTGCCCAGAACAGGGGGATCATGTGAGTAACCACCTGGGCCTTGGGCCGTTTAGCCCCAATCCTCTCCCTCCCTGAAGCCCCACTTCTACCCAGCCGCTGGGCCCCTGGCTCACACCCTCCTGACCCGCCAGGCCCTTCCCCACCGAGGAGGAGAGTGTAGGTGATGAAGACATCTACAGTGGCCTGTCCGACCAGATCGAGTGAGTGCTCAGGCCTGTGGCTGCACAGCTCATTTCAGCACCGTCCTGGGGGTGGAGGGTCTGAGGGGACATGGCCTTGGCCTCCGGGAAATAAGGTCATACCCAGGTGTCTGGGGCACACAACCTTGCCTGGGAGTCTGGGGAGACACAGCCCTGCCCTGGGGTCTTGGAGGACGTGGCCTGCCCTTGGAGTCTGAGGTCCCACCCTGGGAGTCTTGGGGGGACAAAGCCCTGTCCTGCGGTCTGAGGGGACCCTGCTGTGATCTGGGAGAGGTCCGAGGGATCCCTGACCTCACAACCCACAGCGACACGGTGGAAGAGGATGAGGACCTGTATGACTGCGTGGAGAATGAGGAGGCGGAAGGCGACGAGATCTATGAGGACCTCATGCGCTCGGAGCCCGTGTCCATGCCGGTGTGCAAGGCGGAGGGTCGGTCCTGGGGAGGGCGTGGGCGGCGGGGGCAGCCCCAGGCCCCCCAACACCGTTCTCTCCCCTCGCTCTCAGCCCAAGATGACAGAGTATGACAAGCGCTGCTGCTGCCTGCGGGAGATTCAGCAGACGGAGGAGAAGTACACGGACACGCTGGGCTCCATCCAGCAGGTGGGTGCCTCCCACCCAGCGCCTGCCAGGCGGATGCGCGGGTCCACCGGTCCGGCCGCGTCTGGGCAGCTGAGGCTTTTCCTGCCCCCCTCGCTTTTCCCTTCTGTGACTGTCTCCGTCTCTGGATTTCTCTGACTTACATATGTATATATAAATATGAGTCTGACATATATATATATATAAAAATATAAATAATATATATATAAAAATACGGTACTCCGCCTGCAGAAGCAGTCAAAAAAACAAAAACAAACAAAATAAATACAAAATTAAAAATATATAAATATATACATAAATAGAAAATATATAAATATATACAAAGTATATATAAAAATATAAACATATAACACGTATAAAATATAAATATATGATATATATTTATAAGATATATAGTTTTTATATAGAGCCATATATAAACAATATATACAATATATAAAATATAAATAATATGTAGATATATTAATATAGGCATATATATTTTTATATAGATGTATTTTTTTAATATACAAGATAAATAATCCATATGTAGACATATATATCTTTATCTTATATACCTATAAGATATATATCTTTATCTATCTATCTTTTTTGGGGGGGGGGCAGGGTTTCTCTCTTATTGCCCAGGCTAGAGGGCAATGGTACGTTCTCGCTTTACTACAGTCTCTGTCTACTGGGCTCAAGCGATCCTTCTGCTTCAGCCTCCCGAGTAGCTGGGATTACAGGCATGCACCACCATGCTCGACTAATTTTTGTATTTTTACTAGAGACAAGGTTTTGCCATGTTGGCTGGGCTGGTCTCGAACTCTGACCTCAAGTGATCTGCCCACCTCGGCCTCCAAAAGTGCTGGGATTACAGGGGTGAGCCACTGTGCCCAGCTTATATGTCTATCTTTTGAAGACATATATCTTTATTTAGAGATATATATAAAGTATATATAAGATATATAATATATATAGTGTGTGTGTGTGTGTGTGTATATATATATATATATATTTTTTTGCTATGTTACCCAGGCTGGTCTTAAACTCCTGGGCTCAAGCAATCCTCCTGTGATCCAAGCCTTTTGGGAGGTCGCACTGGGCCTCTTCCTCTTGTCTCTCTGTCTCTCTCTTTATCTCTCACTCTGTCTCCTTTTCCTTCCGGGTCTTCTCTTGCTACTTTCTTCCTCAGTGTGTCATTCTCTCCCTTTGTAGCTCTTTATCCCTGGCTCAGTCTTTTTCTGTATCCTCATCTCTCCATTTCTTTTAAGAATAGCTTTATTGAGATTTCATTAATATACATATAATCCATCCATTTAGAGTATACAGTTCAATGGTTTTTGGCATACATACAAGATTATGCAGTCATCACTACTATCTAATTTTGGAACATTTTCATTTGTTTTTTTGTTTGTTTGTTTCTTTTGTTTTGATTTGTTTTGTTTTGAAATGGATCTCACTCTCCCATCCAGGCTGGAGGGCAGTGGCACGATCATAGTTCAATGCAACCTCGAACTCCTGGGCTCAAATGATCCTCCTGCCTTAACCTCCTGAGGAGCTGGGGCTGCAGATGCATGCCACCACACCCTGCTTAATTCTTCAAATTTTTTTTTGTAGATGTGGGGTCTTGCTATGTTGCCCAGGCTGGTCTCATACTCCTGGCCTCAAGCGATCCTCCTGCCTTGGCCTCCCAAAGTGTTGGGATTACAGGTGTGAGCCACCACTCCTGGCCTTTATTTTAGAACATTTTCATCATCCCCCAAAGAAACTCCAAACTCTTTAGCTGTCCCCCCTCAATCTCTTATCTTCCCCCAGTCCATGGTAACCACGAGCTTATTCCCTGTTTCTGTGGATTGGCCTCTTCTGGACATTTCATATAAAGGGAATTATATACTATGTGGTTTATATGCATCTGGCTTCTTTCATTGAGTGTGGTGTTTTCAAGGTTCATCCACACTGTAACCTGTGTCAGAGCTTCATTCCTTTTCATGGCTGAATAATATTCCATGGTACAGATGGACCATATATTTTTTTTATTTTTTGAGACCAGTCTCACTCTGTTGCCCAGGCTGGAGTGTAGTGGCATGATCTCGGCTCACTGCAACCTCTGCCATCCAGGTTCAAGCGATTCTCCTGACTCAGCCTCCTGAGTAGCTGGGATTACAGGCACCTGCTACTGTGCCTGGCTAATTTTTGTAGTTTTAGTAGAGATGGGGTTTCACCATCTCGGTCAGGCTGGTCTTGAACTCCTGACCTCGTGATCCACCTGCCTCGGCCTCCCAAAGTGCTGGGATTACAGGCTTGAGCCACCGCGCCTGGCCGGACCACATTTTATACATCCATTCACCCATTGATAAGCATTTTGGTTATTTCTGCTTTTGGGTTATTATGAATAATTTCGCTGTGAACATTCTTGTACAAGTTTTCGTGTGGACACGCTCCCTCTCTTTATCTCCCTCTCTGTCTCCTTCCTCTGTCTCTCTGAGACTGGTCTGGAGGAGGGAATCTTGTCTTCCATCATCCTTCTCTCCCTTCCCTGCAGCATTTCATGAAGCCCCTGCAACGGTTCCTGAAACCTCAAGACATTGAGATCATCTTTATCAACATTGAGGTGAACCAGCCGATCCCCAGCCCTCTTGGGTCTGTCTAGTGCGTACAACCTGCTGCCCCTACCTATCCCTGAAGTACAGGGGTTGGGAGTTGAACAGCATGGGGCCCCTTTCCTGCCTGGCCCCTTGAACCCTGGGCTCTGGTCCCAGCCCTCACCCTTCCCTCCGAGTAGGACCTGCTTCGTGTTCATACTCACTTCCTAAAGGAGATGAAGGAAGCCCTGGGCACCCCTGGCGCAGCCAATCTCTACCAGGTCTTCATCAAATACAAGGAGAGGTGAGACTCAGCTGGCCAGACTGAAGCTCTGGGGTCACTCTGCCTTGCCTAGGCTGGGCATTCGAGAGACCTTACTCTCAGACACCACTGGACGGGGAGGACTTTGTGCTGTGTGCTCATGGGCAAGGGGCTGCCCATCTCTGGTTCAATTCCCAGCTCTGCTGTGTGGTACTGCGTAGTCACTTAACCTCTCTGTGCTTCTGCTTCCTCATCTGTACATCAGTGGGTCACAGGAATGTGCCTCCTAGGCTGGTGGTGAGGGTGGAATATACGGATGCACATAGGGCCTGGCACATAGTAGGTGCTCAATAAGTATTTGTTAAATGAAGGAACATTGGCCAGGTGCGGTGGCTCACGCCTGTAATCCCAGCACTTTGGGAGGCTGAGGCGGGTGGATCATTTGAGGTCAGGGGTTCAAGACCAGGCTGGCCAATATGGTGAAACCCTGTCTGCATCGCCTGAAAATACAACTAAAACACAACTAAAAATACAAAAAAACAATTAGCTGGGCATGGTGGTGTGCACCTGTAATCCTAGTTACTCAGGAGAATTGCTTGAACCCGGGAGGCGGAGGTTGCAGTGAGTCAAGATCACGCCACTGGACTGCAGCCCAGGCGGCAGAGCAAGACTCTGTCTCAAAAATAAAAAATAGGCCAGGTGTGGTGGCTCACGCCTGTAAATCCAGCACTTTGGGAGGCCAAGGAGGGCAGATCACTTGAGATCAGGAGTTGGAGACCAGCCCGGCCAACATGGTGAAACCTGGTCTCTACTAAAAATACAAAAATTAGCCAGGCGTGGTGGCGGGCACCTGTAATGCCAGCTACTCAGGAGGCTGAGGCAGGAGAATCGCTTGAACCCAGGAGGTGGAGGTTGCAGTGAGCTGAGATCGCACCACTGTACTCCAGCCTGGTGGACAAGAGTGAAACTCCATCTCAAAAATAACTAAATAAAATAAAATAAAATAAAATAAAAATAAAAATAAACAAACATTGGGCAGAGACAATACCAGGTACTGTGGTGAGATTACCATAGTGTTAAATGAGATAATGCTACAATTGCCTCACGTGGGAGATGCTATTGTTATTCCCATTTCACAGATGGGGAAACTGAGAGTCAGGTTTCTTCTCCAGCTGGGAAGAGGGAGGCCAAGGCTGACGCCGGCCTCTGCCCGACCTTGATGCCAGCCACCCTTACCTGGTGGCCTGTCCTCTCGCTGTAGGTTCCTCGTCTACGGCCGCTACTGCAGCCAGGTGGAGTCAGCCAGCAAACACCTGGATCGTGTGGCCGCAGCCCGGGAGGACGTGCAGATGAAGCTGGAGGTGGGGGCCTCTCCCGCTCCTCCCCAGGCCCTGGGGGCAGCAGGGAGGACACTGAATTGCAGATGGTCCACTTTCTGCCGCAGCCCAGCCAGGGATCCGTCAAAGGACTGGGGAGGGAGGTACTGGCCAGCCAAGTGGAGGAAATGGAGAAGAACAGAAATGGGCTGTCCCCGGGTCTGGGCTGACCCCTGATATCAGGGTGACGTCCTGACCCTGAACTGAGCTCTGATCCCACACCGAACCCCAGCCCTCGGCTGAGCCCTAGCATTGATGGTACCCCAAGTCTGGGCTGAGCTCCCACTTCTCACTGAACCCCAATTCCAACCAACCCCTGATCCTGGGCTGAACCTGATCTAGAATTGAACTTCAACCTGGATCTGTTTGTCTGGTGGAAACACAGACAGGGCAGGGGTGGGAGGATGGGGGCTCTCCAGACCTGTCCCTCTCCCCGTCTGCGGCCCCCCTCAGCAGGCAGAATACTGGACCTCTATCCCAGGCAGCGTTTGCCACATTCCAGTGGTTTTTTTGTTTTGTTTTGTTTTGAGACAGGTTCTCATTCTGTCCCCCAAGCTGGAGTGCAGTGGCATGATCATAGCTCACCGCAGCCTAGAACTCCTGTACCCAAGCAATCCTCCCAGCTCCTACCTCGGCCTCCTGAGTAGCTGGGACTACAGATGCATGCCACCATTCCTGGCTAATTTTTGTGTTTTTTGTAGAGATGGGGTTTTACCATGTTGTCCAGGGTGGTCTCGAACTCCAGGGCTCAAGCGATTCACCCACCTCAGCCTCTCAAAGAGCTAGGATTACAGGCGTGAGCAGTTGTACCCAGCCTCTTCCCATTGTTTTTTTGTTTGTTTGTTTTTTGAGATGGAGTCTCCGTCTGTTACCCAGGTTTGAGTGCAGTGGTGCGATCTCAGCTCACTGCAATCTCTGCCTTCTGGGTTCAAGCAGTTCTCCTGCCTCAGTCTCCTGAGTAGCTGGGATTACAGGAGTCCACCACCACACCAGCTTTTTTTTTTTTTTTCCAGCAGAGACGGGGTTTCCCCATGTTGGCCAGGCTGGTCTTGAACTACTGACCTCAAGTGATCCTCCCGCCTCGTCCTCCCAAAGTTCCTTCCAGTGGTTCTTAAGCTGCCCCCACCTCTTGGAGCCCTTTCCCTGTTTCCTTGGGGGCAGATATGATGCTTTGGCCTCTAGAAAAATCCCCACAGCTCTGGGGTGGAGAGCTGCCCACGTCTTTATTCAGATCTATCTGCACCCACCCTGCAACTGGCTCTTTCTGGGACCTGCCTCAGTTTCCCCATTGTTCTCTGATTCACCAGGAATGTTCTCAGCGAGCCAACAACGGGAGGTTCACCTTGCGGGACCTACTGATGGTGCCTATGCAGCGAGTTCTCAAATATCACCTTCTTCTCCAGGTGCCGGGCCCATCCCTGAGGCATGGGCTCCACGCATCTACTCTCCTGTGTCTATAAAAGTGGGGACGGGGTTGGCTTCTGGGGGTTGGGTCTCTAGGACACTCGGGGATGGGTTACTGGGGTCATGTCTCAGCCTCCAGGACCACCAGTACGAGGGAGGAGCTGGTGAGCTAGCATTGTTTGGAAGGCCCTCCCCCCAGGGAGAAGGGGAGGGGCCAGGTGACGTCTGACGTCTTGGTTCTCGCAGGAGCTGGTGAAACACACACAGGAGGCGATGGAGAAGGAGAACCTGCGGCTGGCCCTGGATGCCATGAGGGTGAGTGGGTGTGGGGTGATGATGGTCACTCACCTGCTGCAGACACCCTCCTGGTGGAGGCTGATCCTCTAGCTGGGGTTAAGTAGGAGCCTGGGTCGGCTGTTGGGGGGCCAGGTTCACCCCTGGCCCTTCCCCAGGACCTGGCTCAGTGCGTGAACGAGGTCAAGCGAGACAACGAGACACTGCGGCAGATTACCAATTTCCAGCTCTCCATTGAGAACCTGGTGAGGTGGTGGAGCCGGGTGGGCCAGGGGTGTGGCCACGTGGGGAGGGTGTCTGGCTCCTTTCTTGGGAGACCCTTGCTAGACCCCCTGCCTGCTGCGTAGGACCAGTCTCTGGCTCACTATGGCCGGCCCAAGATCGACGGGGAGCTCAAGATCACCTCGGTGGAACGGCGCTCCAAGATGGACAGGTGAGTGGAATCAACATGGATCTGGGATGGAGCCTGGGCAAAGGGGTGGGGCCAGGCTCCTAGATGGGCAGGTGGATGGAATCAACATAGATCTGAAGCAGAGCCTGGGCAGGGGTGGGGCCAGGCTCCTAGATGGGCAGGTGCGTGGGTCAGCACAGATCTGGAGTGGGCCTGGGCAGGGGTGGAGGCCAGGCTCCTAGATGGGCGAGTGCGTGAGTCAGCACCCAGATCTGGGCTGGAGCCTGGGCAGGGTGAGGCCAGGCTCCTGAATCAAACAGGTGCGTGGAGTCAGCACAGATCTGGAGTGGAGCCTGGGCAGGAGTGGGAGCCCAGGCTCCTGGATGGGCCTTGGTCGTGGAGTCAACACAGATCTGGGTGGAGCCTGGAAGGCAGGGTGGGGCCAGGCTCCTAGATGGGCAGTGCGTGGAGTCAACACAGATCTGGTGGAGCCTGGGCGGGGAGTGGGGGCCAGGCTCCTAGATGGGCAGGTGCGTGATCCAGCACAGATCTGGTGGAGCCTGGGCGGGGGTGGGGCCAGGAAGCTCCTAGAGGGCCAGGCTCCTAGATGGGCAGGTGCGTGGAGTCAACACAGATCTGAATGGAGCCTGGGTAGGGATAGGGCCAGGTTTCTAGATGGGTGGTTGGGTGGAGTCAACACAGATCTGGGAAAGAGCCTGGATAGGGGCGTGGCCAGACTCCTAGATGGACAGGTGGGTGGAGCCAATGCAGATCTTCGGGGGAGCCTGGGTAGGGGTGGGGCCAGTTCCTACGTAGACTTGTAGGTGGAATTAAGATGAATTTGGGTAGGGACCTGAGTGTGGTTGAGACAAGATTTCTAGACAGACAGGTGGTAGATCCATCCAGACAAGGCAGTGGAGCCTTGATGGGCAGGCAGGACGGAGCCAGCGAGGAATATGGGTGGAGCCAAGACTGACAGGCAGTAGAGCCAACGTGGATCACGTGGGTGAGATCAGGATGGACAGGTGGGCATGATCAAGTTGGCCAAGAAGGAGGAGAAGGTCAGGGTGGGACCAGGATGTGGAGGAACTGGCCAGAGAGCTGGTGGGGACAGTTGGGAAGAGCCAGACAGGAAAGCCTTATCCATTCTTCCAGGTATGCCTTCCTGCTCGACAAAGCTCTGCTCATCTGTAAGCGCCGGGGAGACTCCTATGACCTCAAGGACTTTGTGAACCTGCACAGCTTCCAGATTCGGGATGACTCTTCAGGAGACCGCGACAACAAGAAGGTGGGGCTTCGACGTCACGCAGTCGGCAGCTTAGCCCTCTCCACTTGGGCATACGCCTGTGTTTGCCAGACTACATCTACATAGAAGTGTGTATTAATCCACTCACAGTCTTGTTTTGTTTTGTTTTTTGTTTTTTTAAGACGGAGTCTTGCTCTGTCGCCAGGCCGGAGTGCAGTGACACAATCTCGGCTCACTGCAACCTCTGCCTCCCGGATTCGTGCCATTCTCCTGGCTCAGCCTCCCCCAGTAGCTGGGACTACAGGCACGTGCCACCACGCCTGGCTAATTTTTTGTATTTTTAGTAGGGACGGGGTTTCCCTATGTTAGCCCCATGGTCTCCTTCTCCTGACCTCGTGATCCACCTGCCTCGGCCTCCCGAAGTGCTGGGATTACAGGCATGAGCCACTCAACAGTTTTTAAATTGAGCACCTACTCTATCCAGGGCACTCTTCTAGGTGCTAGGACTAAAATGGAAAGCAATATCGAGTTTTTATTTTGTTTCTTTTCTTTCTTTCTTTTTTGAGAGAGTCTTACTCTGTCCTTCAGGCTGGAGTGCAGTGGCATGATCTCGGATCGCTGCAACCTCTGGCTCCCAGGTTCAAGCAATTCTCCTGCCTCAGCCTCCTGAGTAGCTGAAATTACAGGTGCCCACCACCACACCCAGCTAATTTTTGTATTTTTAGTAGAGACCAGGTTTCACCATGTGGGCCAGGCTGGTCTCAAACTCCTGACCTCAAGTGATCCACCCACCTCAGCCTCCCAAAGTGCTGAGATTACAGGCATGGCACATGTCTGGTCTATTTTATCTCTTGTATGGTACTTGCCTTCTTATGGGATGCTTTCTACAAGAAAAATAAAGTAGGTGGCTGGGTACAGTGGCTCACACCTGTAATCCCAGCACTTTGGGAGGCTGAGGTGGGAGAATCTCTTGAGCCCAGGAGTTTGAGACCAGCCTGGGCAACATAGGGAGATCCTCGTTTCTAAAAAACATTAAAAAAAAAAAATGTAGCTGGGCTTGGTGGCACATGCCTGTAGCCCTAACTACATGGGAGGCTGAGGCTGGAGGATCACTTGTGGCCAAGAGTTGGAGGCTGCAGTGAGCTATGATTGCACTCCAGCCGGGGCCACAGAGTGAGACCCAGTCTCTATTAAAAAATAAATGAATAAAACCAAACAGGGGATGTGACTGTGGTAGGTGAGGATGGGCCCCCCTCATCTACCACAGTCACATCTTACCTCCATTGTTCAGGGACACTCTCTGTGGAAGGGACACTGTCTGTGGCAGTGACATTTGAGTTGAGACCTCTCTCCCTCTCGGCTCTTCCTTGCTTCCTTTTGCTTTTTCTCCTGTGAACTCTTCCCTTCGCTTTAGTCTTTTCCCTGGAGATCCTCCCTGAGCTCTGGTCTGTGGCTTCTTTTTTTTTTTTTTTTTTTTTTAGAAAGAGTCTTGCTTTGTCACCCAGGCTGGAGTGCAGTGGCATGATCTCAGCTCACTGCAACCTCCTGCCTCCTGGGTTCAAGCAATGCTCCTGCCTCAGCCTCCCGAGTAGCTGGGATTACAGGTGCACGCCACCACACCCAGCTAATTTTTGGTATTTTTAGTAGAGACGGGGTTTCACCGCGTTGGTCAGGCTGTTCTTGAACTGCTGACTTTGTGATTCACCCGTCTTGGCCTCCCAAAGTGCTGGGATTACAGGTGTGCACCACCACACCTGGCCAGCTTCTCTGTTTCTCAGCCTGTGCCTCCCAAGGAGCCAGTTGCTGTCTTGTGACTGCCTGCTTCCGGCATCCGTCTCTCCTACCGAGCTGGAGCTCTGGGGACCACATCCTATTCGCTGCTCTGTCCCTAGCTCCTAGCAGTGTCTGTTTCTCAGTAGGCGCTGCGCCAATGCTTTGTTGAACAGACAAATCAATGATGAGTGACATGCTGTGTCTGGTGTGTGCCTCTGCAAAGGCGTGTGTGTGTGTGTGCATGTGCACACATGTGTGTGTGGTTTTGGGTTTATGGTTGTGTATTTGGATATCCTAGAAAGCCCTTTTACAAGGATATCTGTGCATGGTGCTGGGGACACAGAGACTGTCACGGGCTTGACTGTTCCCTACAGAGGAGGGGCAGTGGGTGTGTGCTCCCACCCTCCGCAGGGGCAGTGCCTTCAGTCTGAGCTCTGCTTCCCTGCAGTGGAGCCACATGTTCCTGCTGATTGAGGACCAAGGTGCCCAGGGCTATGAACTGTTCTTCAAGACAAGAGAATTGAAGAAGAAGTGGATGGAGCAGTTTGAGATGGCCATGTGAGTCCCCGTCTTCCTTCCTCTTTCTGTCCTCAGAGGGGCAGGGGCTGGGAAAGAGGAATGTGCTCTAGTCCCTACTCTGTCCTGACATGCCATGGGACCACTCTGAACCTCAGTCTCTTCATTTGGGAAATAAGAGGGACAAGCCCAAGGCTGTCTTCATCCTTGGAATGCCAGAGTTGTGTGCAAGCTTCAGCTACCGGCCCAGACTCTTCTCCTCTCCTCCTCATCTTTCCTGTTCCCCTCTCCTCTTCCTTCTCCTCCTCCTGGTTTCCTTCCTACCCCTCCTCCTCCTCCTCCTCCTCTTTCTCCTTCTCCTCCTTTCCTCCTCCTCTTTCCTCCTCCTGCTTTTCCTTTTGTTCTTCCTCCTCCTCTCCTTCTTCCTCCTCTCCTTCCTCCCCTTCCTCCTCCTTTCCTTCCTTCTCTTCCTCTTCTTCCTATTCCTCCTCCACCCCTTCTTCCTTCTCCCTTTCCTCCCTTTTTTCCTCTTCCTTCACCTCCTCTTCCTCCTCCTCCTCCTCCCTTTCCTCCTCTTCCTCCTCCTCTTCCTCCTCCTCCTCCCTTTCCTCCTCTTCCTCCTCCTCCTTCTTCTTCCCCTCTTCCTCATCTTCCACTTCTGTCTTCTCCTCCTCCTTTTTACATGAGGCAAAATGCCCACAACAAAAATCTAACAATTTCAAAGTGCACGATTGCATGGCACTTTGTACACTAACAGTGTTGTGCAACCATCACCTCTATCCAGTTTCAAAACCTTTTCATCAGCCTAAAGGAGACCTCATACCCATTAAACATTCACTCCCAATTTCTCACTCTCGAAGCCCCTGGAAACTCCTAACCTGCTTTCTCTTTCTCCCGATGTGCGTAGCAGCACGATTGAGTGTGGCCAAAGGGTGGAAATGACCCAGACGTCAATCAGTGAATGAATGGATGCACAAAATGTGGTCTGTTCATATCATGGAATAGTATTCAGTCATAAAATGGAATAAAATGCTGACCCTCTTTGTTTTTTTTTAAATTTTCCTCTGCCAGCTCCAACATCTACCCGGAGAATGCCACTGCCAACGGGCATGACTTCCAAATGTTCTCCTTTGAGGAGACCACGTCCTGCAAGGCTTGTCAGATGCTGCTTAGGTGGGAATCTAAGAGAAAGGTCCTGCATCCTGGGCTTGGTCATCAGGTCCTTGCTAGAGAAGCTGCCCCAGTAATTGGTTCCCTAAATTGGGAGATGGGGGCGTTCCTACTTTGATTTTCTGCTTCTCCGTCGCTCTCCTGATCTAAAGAGAACCCAAGGGGGCCCTTTATGTTCTTGGCAGAATATTTGGCCGTGTCTGCAAAGGTCACTCACTCTTCTTTATGTGTCCCCTGCATCTCAGAGGTACCTTCTATCAGGGCTATCGCTGCCATCGGTGCCGGGCACCTGCACACAAGGAGTGTCTGGGGAGGGTCCCTCCGTGTGGCCGACATGGGCAAGGTACGAGTGGGAGGGAGGCTGGGAGATGAGCTTGGTTCTCTGTGGAGGATTTCCCGTTCTCACCGTTACCTTTACTCTCCCATAGATTTCCCGGGAACTATGAGGAAGGTAAGACTTTCCCACGCTCCTTCCTGTGCACTGCAAATAATGGGCAACAGTGCGGGGAGGACCCAGGGCATCCCAGAACTGGCCGTGATCCTTTGTGGGGTGAGGACAGTGATGGGGGCCTACAAGCCCCCAGGCTGGGCTTAGGTAAACAGGTTTTCTTTGTCTCTCCTTCCAGGACAAACTGCATCGCAGGGCTCAGGACAAAAAGAGGAATGAGCTGGGTGAGTTGGCAGGGGATGCTGTGTGGGGGCAGGAGGCAAATGTATCTCCATTCATGTTGACCCAGGGACAGATCTCCATCATCATATTAACAGCCACACTGGGCTGGGTGCAATGGCTCCCACCTGTAATCCCAGCAATTTGGGAGGCCAAGGCGGGAGGATCGCTTGAAGTCAGGTGCACGCCACCACGCCTAATTTTTAAATTTTTAAAATAGAGATGAAGTCTTGCTATGTTGCCCAGTCATACTGTATATTTTAATTAATTAAAATTAATTTTATTAAATTAATTTTAATTATTTTAATTAATTAATTTATGTATTTATTTTTGGAGATGGAATCTTGCCCCATTGCCCAGGCTGGAGTGCAGTGGTGCGATCTTGGCTCACTACAACCTCCACCTCCCAAGTTCAAATGATTCTCCTGCCTCAGCCTCCTGAGCAGCTGGGACTACAGGCACCATGCTTGGCTAATTTTTGTATTTTTAGTAGAGACGGTGTTTCACCATGTTGAGCAGGCTGGTCTCAAACTCTTAACCTCAGGGGATTGGCCTGCTTGGCCTCCCAGAGTGTTGGGATTACAGGCATGAGCCACTGTGCCCAACCTTAATTTAAAAAAAAACTTAAGGCCAGGCGCGGTGGCTCAAGCCTGTAATCCCAGCACTTTGGGAGGCCGAGACGGGCGGATCACGAGGTCAGGAGATCGAGACCATCCTGGCGAACACGGTGAAACCCCATCTCTACTAAAAAAATACAAAAAACTAGCCGGGCGAGGTGGCAGGTGCCTGTAGTCCCAGCTACTTGGGAGGCTGAGGCAGGAGATCCCAGCTACTCAGAAGGCTGAGGCAGGAGAATGGCATAAACCCGGGAGGTGGAGCTTGCAGTGAGCCGAGATCCGGCCACTGCACTCTAGCCTGGGCGACAGAGCGAGACTCCGTCTCAAAAAAAACAAAAACAAAAACAGAAACAAAAAAACTTAAAAAAATATATACATGTCTCCTTCTGTTGTATTGAGGACATTTGAGTTGTTTCTAGTTTTTTACTATTGCAAATAAAGCTGATACATATATGTCATATATCGTATATGTATATATATAATACATCTTTTTAAAAAAATTTTTAGAAGCAGTGTCTTGCTCTGTATCCCAGGCTGGAGTGCAGTGGCAGGAGTGTTCCACTTATATGCCATTTATATGACATATAAATATATAACATAATCAGGTGTGGTGGCTCATGTCTGTAATCCCAGCACTCAAACTCCAAGACTAGGAGTTTGAGACCAGCCTGGGCAACATAATGAGACCCTGTGTCTACAAAAAATTTTTTTAAATTAGTGGGGTTCCTGCTTAAACCCAGGAATTCAAGGTTGCAGTGAGCCATGATCACGCCACTGCACTCCAGCCTGGGCAACAGACCAAGATCCTGTTTCAAGGAAATAAAAAAATGAATATGTGAAATCTATGAATAGGTATGTTTTCTTCTTATTATTACTTATTATGTAATTAGCAATAGTCAGCTTTCTTAGCAACAGTCAAAATTAGAAACAGCCCAAGTGTCCTTTATACAATAGAATATATATATACATATATATATGCACACACATACATGTATTTTATTGAGAGAGGAAATACATACTTTAAGGTATGTAAAAATCAATAAATCTTAAGTATATGACTTAATATGTTTTTATCCATGCAACCAACAATCAAATAAAAGCATAGAACATTTCCATCCCTCCAGAATGGTGCTGTCCGATATAAATGAATTAAAATGAAATCATCTTAAATTTTTTTTTTACTTAGCCTTGAAGCTCTCAATAACTGCCTGTGGCTAGTTGCTACCACATTGGACATATCCATCACCACAGAAAGTTTTATCAGAAAGCACTGCTACTCACCTATCTCCCATAGGGAACCACTGTCTGATGTCTATCACCATAGATTAATTTTGCCTGCTCTTGAGTTTTCTATAAATAAAATCATATAGTGCATGCTTATTTCATCTGGTTTCTTTTATCTGACATAATGATGGTGAGATGCATCGATGTGGTTGCTTGTAGCAACAGCTTTTTCCTTTTCATTGCTGTATAGTATTCCATTATGTGATGGTATCACAATTTGTTTATTGATTGATCAACCTATTGAGGACATTTGGTTGGTTGCCAGTTTTTGGATATTCTGAATAAAGCTGCAACTTTTGAAGGACATTTTTTGTTTTTTGTTTGTTTGTTTGTTTTGAGATGGAGTCTCACTCCATTGCCTAGGCTGGAGTGCAGTGGCATGATCTCAGCTCACTGCAACCTCTGCCTCCTGAGTTCAAGCGATTCTCCTGCCCCCTGCCTCCCAAGTAGCTGGGATTACAGGCGCCTGCCACCATGCCTGGCTAATTTCTGTAGTTTTAGTAGAGATGGGGTTTCACCACATTGGCCAGTCTGGTCTTGAACTCCTGACCTCAGGTGATCCGTCCACCTCGTCCTCTCAAAGTGATGGGATTGCAGGCGTGAGCCACCTGACCTGGCCAGGACACATGTTTTTATTTCTCTTGGGTTGCTGGGTTACAGAGTAGATACAATGTTTAGCTTCAGTAGATATTGTCGAATGGTTTTCCAAAGAGTATCCCCATCAGCAATGAGTGAGAATTCCAGTTGCTCCACGTTCTTGTTAACACTTGGTATTGCCAGTCTAAAAAGAAAAATTTTAGCCATTCTGGTGGGTGGCAAGATTCAGCATTGAAAGTTGACTGCCAATCACCCTGTACTCCTGTATCCTGTCCTCCAGGTCTGCCCAAGATGGAGGTGTTCCAGGAATACTATGGGCTTCCTCCACCCCCTGGAGCCATTGGACCCTTTCTACGACTCAACCCTGGAGACATTGTGGAGCTCACAAAGGCTGAGGCTGAACAGAACTGGTGGGAGGTACAGGCTGGGACAATAGGAGTGATGGGGTGGGACCCAAGTGTAGGGTTATGGATTCATGTGGTCTCAGGGAGTTGGGTCATAGTCCCAGTGTGCTCTGGAGGTGATGCTTGGAGAGTCAGGGAGGTACACTGAGATTTCTGGGCATAGCTTTTCTGAGATGGCCATCTTCCCAGGAAGTTAATACTGATTGTCACCTCTCTGGGCTCTCCAGGCCATCTTGAGATAGATGGACAAGCAGAGTGACCATTGAGCAGAGAGACGGACACACACACACACACACACGAGTGATGGGGGAGGATCCATGTGGAGGGTTATGGGTTTAGGTGGTGGGTGGGGTTATGGATCCTATAACCTCTCTGTTCCTGTTTTTGTCTCCTGGGTGTTTAGGGCAGGAATACATCTACTAATGAAATTGGCTGGTTTCCTTGTAACAGGGTGAAGCCCTACATCCGTGTGAGTGCCTCAAGTCTGAATGGAATAAGGGCGAGGGGTTCAGGGTGGGTCCTGGGAGGATGGGCAGAATTGAAAAGACACCCCTGGAGTTGGGAAGGGGGCTGCCCATCATGGCAGGTCTTTCTGCAACTCAAGGCTTTGCCCACCCCACCAACTGAGCCCAGAGAGGGGCCACCCTAGAAACAATGATTGATCTTTTTCTCCTTGATCATTTTTGTATCAAGGTCCTTTCCTTCCTACACAGGTATGGTAGGGAGGAAGGAGCAGGGACCTAGAAAGTGGGCCTGCCCGTGGCTTCCTTCTGAGACATTGAATTGAGTTCTGTGAGAGCGCTGTGGCCTCCATTGCCTGCGTCCTTGCCCTGCTCCTGGTGGACGCACCTGTCCACCCCAGCCTCTGCTGTTCTAGTGTTCTCTTCTCGATGAACCCCTCACTCTTCACAATGACTTCAAAGCTCTCCCTCTCTCCCCAACCTCAGATGTCCCCTAGCTCATTCATAGCAAATGAGCCCACTGTCCACTTCACAGCCTACAGAGGGAAATTCTCTCCAGTGTTGCTTTAACTTTAACTATATTATTTCAGACTTCTAGCAAAGCTATGAGAATAATGCAAAGAGTCCCCATTAGCCTTTACCCAGTTGCATTGGTTCTCCTAATGTTTTGTTCCATTTGCTCTGTCATTTCCTCTCTCTACCCACACATAGTATTTATTTTTCCTGGAAGAGTTAAAAGTGAATTTGCAGATGACATTCCCCTTTACCCCTAAATAGGTCTTAAGAACAAGAACCTCCTTGTACATAACCAGAGCAAGATTTTAAAAGACACAAAATTCAACATTGACATTATACTATTATTGAATTCACAGTCTGTATTTAAATGTTGTCAATTTCCCCAAAAATTTTATCAAAAATTTTTTTGTTCCTGTGGTTTCTCCACTGTCAAGTTACAATATGAGTTTCCAACTCCATCATTCTTTCCACATTTATTAGCTGGTGTTCTGCTGCAAGGAAGCGCTGTCCCTTCTGTCCCCATCTGTCTGTCTATCTATTTATCTATCTATCTATCCATGTACCTACCTACCCATCAATCCATCCATTCATCAATCAATTCTTCCATCCTTCCATCCATTCATCCGTCATCTGTCTACTTATCAATACATTCATGACCTGTTCATCCACCTATCATTTATCTATGTATTATCTATGTATTATCTGTCTATCATCTATCTATTCACTGATAGTCTCTCTACCTATTTTTCACCTACCTATCTAACCATCTATTATCTATTATCTATTATCATTTCTCTCTCATCTATTCATTTATCATTTATCTATCACCTGTTTATCATCTATCATCTATCCATGTACCTATTACCTATCCATCATCCATCTATTCTATCTCTTAATTTTTTTGTTTTAGAGACAGGGTCTCGTTCTGTCACCCAGGCTGGAGTGCAATGGTGTGATTTTAACTCACTGCAGCCTTGACCTCCTGGGCTCAAGCAATTCTCCCACGTCACCCTCCTGAGTGGCTGGGACCCCAGATGCATGCCATTATGCTCGGCTTTATTTATTTATTTATTTATCTATGTATGTATGTATGATGGAGTTGCACTCTTGTTGCCCAGGCTGGAGTGCAGTGGGGTGATCTCGGCTCATTGCAACCTCTGCCTTCTGGTTTCCAGCGGTTCTCCTGCCTCAGCCTCCCAACTAGCTGGGATTACAGGTGCCTGCTACCACGCCCGGCTCATTTTTGTATTTTTAGTAGAGATGGAGTTTCACCATGTTGGCCAGGCTGGTTTTGAACTCCTGACCTTGTGAACCACCAGCCTCGGCCTGCCAAAGTGTTGGAATTACAGGTGTGAGCCACTGCGCCCAGCCACAGCCATTTTTTGGTGTGTGATTCTTTTGCAGAGATGGGGTCTCACTATGTTGCACAGGCTGGTCTTGAACTCCTGGGCTCAAGCAGTCATCTCATAGAACATCCTTCCCTTTTTTCTTTTAAAAAATTGAGGTGAAATTTGCAAAACATAAAACTGACCATTACAATGTAGCTGAGATTACAGGCGTGCACCACCATGCCTGGCTAATTTTTTGCATTTTCAGTACAGACTGGGTTTCACCGTGTTAGCCAGGATGGTCTTGATCTCCTGACCTCGTGATCCGCCCGCTTCGGCCTCCCAAAGTGCTGGGATTACAGGCATGAGCCACCGCGTCCGGCCTTTTTTTTTTTTTTTTTTTTTTGAGATAGGGTGTGGTTCTGTTATCCAGGCTGGAGTGCAGTGGTGGTGCAATTATAACTCACGGCAGCCTGGATCCCCTAAGCTTAAGTGATCCTCCCACTTCAGCCTCCTGAGTAGCTGGGACTACAGGCATGTGCCACCATGCCTGGCTAATTTTTGTACTTTTTTTTTTTTTGAGACAGAGTTTCTCTCTTGTTGCCCAGGCTGGAATGGAATGGTGCGATCTCAGCTCACTGCAACCTCCGCCTCCTGGGTTCAAGCGATTCTCCCGCCTCAGCCTCCACAGTAGCTGGGATTACAGGCACCTGCCACCACACCCAGCTAAGTTTTGTATTTTTAGCAGAGACAGGGTTTCACCATGTTGGCCAGGCTGGTCTTGAACTCCTGACATCAGGTGATCTACCCACCTCCGCCTCTCAAAGTGCTAGGAGTACAGGCATGAGCCAGAGCACCTGGCCCATACTGCTTTTCTTTCTCTTTTCTTTTCTTTCTTTTTTTTTTTTTTTTGGAGATGGAGTTTCGCTCTGTGGCCTGGACTGGAGTGCAGTGGCGCGATCTCGGCTCACTGCAACCTCTCCCTCCCGGGTTCAAGTGATTCTCCTGCCTTCCAAGTAGCTGGGATTCCAAGTAGCTGGGATTACAGGCGTGCACCACCATGCCTGGCTAATTTTATGTATTTTTAGTAGAGACGGGGTTTTTGCCATGTTGGTCAGGCTGGTCTTGAACTCCTAACCTCATGATCCGCTTGCCTCAGCCTCCCAAAATGCTGGGACTACAGGCGTGAACCACCACCCCCAGCACGTACTGTTTTTCATAGTGCACCATTTTACATTCCTACCAACAGTGCACAAGGGTTCTGATTTCTCCACATCTTTGCCCACATTTGCTACTTTCTGTTTTGTTTGTTGATTTGTTTTTGCCTTATAGTAGCTGTCCTAATGGTTTTAAGGTAGTGAAAGTGAGTACTTTCAGCCGGGCGTGCTGGTTCATGCCTGTAATCCCTGCACTTTGGGAGGCCGGGGCGGGCGGATCACCTGAGGTCGGGAGTTCGAGACTAGCCTGACCAACATGGAAGAAACCCCATCTCTACGAAAAATACAAAATTAACCGGGTGTGGTGACACGTGCCTGTAATCCCAGCTACTCGGGAGGCTGAGGCAGGAGAATCGTTTGAACCTGGTAGGCGGAGGTTGTGGTGAGCCGAGATCACACCATTGCACTCCAGCCTGGGCAAGAAGAGCAAAACTCTATCTCTAAATAAATAAATAAGAAAGTGAGCACTTTCACCCATATTCAGATGAGGATTGGCAAACTTTTTCCATAAAGAGCCGAGTAGTAGTGTAAACATGCTGACCCTCCAGGGTCCCATACAGTTTTGCAACTCTTTAGTTCCACCCCTGTAGTGCAAAAGTAGCTGTAGATAATCTGTAAATGATGTGTGGCCGTGGCTATTTTCCTATAAAGCATAGTTCATGGGCACTGACAGATGAATTTCATATAATTTTCACAATCCCCAAAATATTATTTTGGCTAGTCATGGTGGCTCATGCTTGCAATCCTAGCTCTTTGGGAGGCCAAAGCAGGAGGATTGCTTGAGGCCAGGAGTTTGAGACCAGCCTGGGAAACAAAGGGAGACCCTCTCCCTCATCTCGAGAATATTAAAAAAATTAAAAATTAGTGGGTGTGGTGGTGCATGCCTGTAGTCCCAGCTACACTGGGAGGCTGAGGTGGGAGGATCGCTTGAACCTGGAAGGTCGAGGCTGCAGTGAGCTATGATTGTACCACTGCACTCCAACCTGGACAACATAGTGAGACTCTGTCCCTAAAAATATATTTTAAAAAAATTCTTTTGATTTTTGCCAACCGTCTAAAAACGTAAAAACCATCCTTGACTTGAGGGTTATGATAAACTGCTGGGAAGAGAACCCCTGCCTTATATGACACTGGGACAGTCTCTCCTCCGAGATTCTGGGACTTTATCCCCAAAGAGTACCACAGTGCCTGGCACATAATAGGCACTCACTAAACGCAAGTGGAATGAATGAATGAAGGAATGAATGAATGAAGTGCCCTGCCCTCTGCTGTCATGCTGGGGTCTTTACACTAAATCGGGGTCTCTCTCTGTGTTCTTAGGGCCCTCCTCAGGACCTGTCTGTTCATCTCTGGTGAGTAGAAATATTTCTTATTTTGTTTCAATGACAGATTTCTGGGTTGGGGTTCCAGGCTGGGTATGGGAGGAACCTCCGACCCAATTAGTTATGCATTCTGTGTTCCCTGAGCAGCGACTTCTGAATCTAGCTCTGGGCTGGGGGCTGCTGGGGATGGGAAGGACAAAGGAGGGCCCCTGACCTTGGGAGATGTTGGTCTTGTTGGAAGGAAAATAGTTATGATGATGATGATGATGATAGTGGTGATGGTAACGATGATGATGACGATAATGATGATGTGACGGTAACGATGATGACGATGGTGATGATGACGATGATGATGATGGTGATGGTGATGATGATGACAATGACGACGATGATAATAATGGTGGTGGTGATGGCAACGATGATGATGATGATGATGATGATGATGATGATGATAATGATGATGTGACGGTAACGATGATGATGACGATGACGATGATGATGGTGGTGATGGTAGCGATGATGATGATGATGGTGATGGTGATGATGACAATGACGACGATGATGATGATAATGGTGGTGGTGATGGTAACGATGACGATAATGATGGTGGTGGTGATGGCAACGATGATGATGGTGACAATGATGATAATGGTGGTGGTGGTGATGGCGATGATGATGATGATGGTGACGATGATGATAATGGTGGTGGTGGTGATGGTAACGATGATGATGATGATGGTGACGATGATAATGGTGGTGGTGGTGATGGCAACGATGATGATGATGGTGACGATGATAATGGTGGTGGTGGTGATGGGTGATGAAGTAGCGATGATGATGATGGTGGCGATGATAATGGTGAAATTGGTGGTGATGGTAAGCGATGATGATGATGGTGACGCGATGACAATGGTGGTGGTGGTGATGGTAACGATGATGATGATGATGGTGGTGATGGTAGCGATGATGATGGTGATGGTGATGACAATGACGGCGATGATGATGATAATAGGTGGTGGTATTAGTAGCGATGATGATGATGCTAACTGGTGGTGGTGATGGTAACGATGATGATGATGGTAGTGATGATGATAATGATGGTGGTGGTGATGGCAACGATGATGATGGTGACAATGATGATAATGGTGGTGGTGGTGATGGTGATGATGATGATGGTGACGATGATAATGGTGGTGGTGATGGTAACGATGATGATGATGGTGACGATGATGATAATGATGGTGGTGGTGATGGCAAGCATTGATGATGGTGACGTGATATTAATGGTGGTGGTGGTGATGTGAGTAACGATGATGATGATGATGGTGGCTGATGATAATGGTGGTGGTGATGTTGATGATGATGATGATGGTGGTGATGGTGGTGATGATGATGATGATGATGGTGGTGATGGTAGCGATGATGATGGTGATGGTGATGATGACAATGACGACGATGATGATGATAATGGTGGTGGTGATGGTAACGATGATGATGATGATGGCAACGATGATAATGATGGTGGTGGTGATGGTAACAATGATGATGATGACAATGATGATGATAATGATGATGGTGGTGATGGTCATGACAGTCCCAGTTGTTTTTGTAGGATTTTTTGTCTTGCTTGTTTGTTTGTTTTGCACCTATAGTATGTCAAGCATATAGGGGTGGAGGTTTACAGTGTGGCTTTTGGGGCCTGTGACCTGGATTCAAATTCTGACCCCAACCTTACCTAGCTGTGTGACCTTGGGCTGGTAACTTAACCTCTCTCTGTTTCAGCATTCCTCTCTGGAAAATAGCTTAATGACAGTATCTACTTCATAGTGTTGTTAGGAGGTATAAATGAGTCTGTCAAGTGCTTAGTCCTGATCCTGACACATAATGAAGACTTTATACAGCATTAGTTGTTGTTATTACTACATTTAATCTGTTCTAAGATGCATTTTTTTTTTCTTCACATTGGAACATCTCTGTCATTGAAATGGCTCTTGCGATCCACAGTATCCATCTTCGGCTGAATTTTATAGGCAGGAAATGTTCTTTCGTGATGGCACATAAAAGAATGGTGCATTGAACAATTGCTGGCACCTCAGCTCTTTAATGAGCTTCTTTAATTTTCACAAAAGCCCTTTGGAAAATAGATTTGATTCTCACTCCCTGTCCCCTACTTTCTTCTTTTCTTCTTCTTCTTTTTTTTTTTTTCAAAGGAGACTGAGGAGGGGAAGTGACTTATATAACGTCACATGGTGAGGATATGATGGAGATGGGATTTGAACCCAAAACCTCAGTGCCTCAGTTTACCGTCTCTTACTAGTAATAAAACACAGCATGATTATGCTCCCATCTTCTTGTTGCCCAGGCTGGAGTGCAGTGGTGTGATCTCAGCTCACCGCAACCTCCACCTCCCAGGTTCAAGCGATTCTTCTGCCTCAGCCTCCCGAGTAGCTGGGATTACAGGCACCTGCCACCACACCCAGCTAATGTTTTATATTTTTAGTAAAGACAGGGTTTCACCATGTTGGCCAGGCTGGTCTCGAACTCATGACCTCATGTGATCCACTTGCCTTGGCCTCCCAAAGTTCTGGGATTACAGGTGTGAGCCGCCACAACTGCCTGATGCTTCCATCTTCTAAGTGCCTACTACGTAGTAGCAGGTGCACTATTGCCATTTATTAAAAATGTGCATCTATGGCATCTCCCTCTTTTCAGAAGAGGAAATTGAGGCCCAGAGAGGCAAAAGCAGTTGCCGAGGTCTTAGAACGCGCAAGGGGCAGGGTCAGGATTTGAACCATGGTCTCTTTCGTTAGCGCTCCTTCCGCCCTTCCACGCCAAGATGCGGTCAGTGGGGTGGGGACCAGGGTGAGACCAGGGAGGCTGTCTTGTGGGTGCAAGATTTAAGGGGATGCTGAAAATTGCAGTGATTAAGGTCCATCATGTTTTAATGCAACATTAAAAAAATCAAAAACAAGGCAAAAAAAATTCAGGGATGAACAAATATCAAAATTGTAACTAAAGACAGGGTCCAATAGAGCCGGGACTAAGAGGAGGTGGGTGAGGTAAGTCAGGCAGTCAGATTCTGTCTTTATTCAAAAATTTGACGTTTGTTCATCATGGTTTCTTTGCATTCATTAAAAAAAAAAGTTAAACACCAACCTGAACCAGATTTGCATTCATTTTTTAAAATTGAGGTGAAATTCGGCTGGACGTGGTGGCTTATGCCCGTAATCCCAGCCCTTTCGGAGGCCGAGGCGGGTGGATCACTTGAGATCAGAAGTTCAAGACCAGCCTGGGCAACATGGTGAAACCCTGTCTCTACTAAAAATACAAAAATTAGCCCGGCGTGGTGGCACATGCCTGTAGTCCCAGCTACTCGGGAGGCTGAGGCAGGGGAATCGCTTGAACCTGGGAGGTGGAGCTTGTAGTGAGCCGAGATTGCGCCATTGCACTCCAGCCTGGGCGACAGAGTGAGACTCTGTCTCAAAAAAAAAAATTAATTAATTAAATTTTAAAAAATGAGGTGAAATTCATACAACATATAATTAACCTTGTAATGGTTACTGGCATTTCTATTTCTATTCATATTTACATTTATATTACATATTAACATTTACATGATGTTAGATATTATACGCAATTACATATGATTTATAATGAATACCTACTCTTTACATTGTGTATTTATGCGTATAACCTGTTATATATTATACCACATATCATAATATATATTTATATTATGCTATGTATTATCACAAATTAATGTTTTTAATTTATATTGCACATTTATGTTTATATATCATATGCATTATATAATACACTATACTGTAGCTTTATATATTACATATTTACATTTACATTATGTTAGGTGACATAAATTATATATTATGCATAATATGTATTATTTATATAATGTTACATTTATGTCATATTGTACATTAAATATTTTAATATAATTTACATTAACATGACATATTTACACATATATAAAATTATATACTATGCATAATTATGTATTATACATAATTAATATTCCTTATTGTATGTTACATTTCTATCATGTTGCACATTATACACTATAACATACATTACATTAACATGAGATATTTATGCTTATATGAAATTATGTATTATGGGCTGGGCGTGGTGACTCACGCCTGTAATCCCAGCACTTTGGGAGGCTGAGGCGGGTGGATCACTTGAGGTCCAGAGTTCAAGACCAACTTGGCCTACATGGTGAAACCCCGCAAAAATTAGCTGTGTGTGGTGGTGTGCACCTGTAATCCCAGTTACTTGGGAGGCTGAGGCAGGAGAATCGCTTGAACCTAGGAGACAGAGATTGCAGTGAGCCAAGACCGTGCCACTGCACTCCAGCCTGGGCGACAGAGCGAGGCTCTGTCTCAAAAAAAAAGTTACATATTATGTATAATTATGTATTACATATAATTAATATGTATTATTTATGTTGTCCATTTACATTTATAGTATATGTTATACCATATATTTTACATTTACATAGACTATATATGGTGTATTCTATGTAATATAAATATTACATGTATATTTATATTATATTCACATTATATATTATAGTTATAGATAACTATAATTATCATATATAGCTATCTACAATATAGAGTTATATATAATGATTATATGTTGTGTATTATATATAACTATTATTTATATTGAATATTTACATTCACATTATAAATATATTCATGTTACATTTACATTCAGTGGCTTTTTTTTTTTTTTTTTTGGAGACAGAGTTTCTCTCTGTTGCCTGGGCTGGAGTGCAGTGGTGTGATCTCAGCTCACTGCAACCTCCACCTTCCGAGTTCAAGCGATTCTCCTGCCTCAGCCTCCTGAATAGCTAGGATTAGAGGTGCCCGCCATCAAGCCCAGCTAATTTTTGTTTAGTAGAGACGGGGTTTCACCATGTTGCCCAGGCTGGTCTCGAACTCCTGACCTTGTGATTCACCCACCTCGGCCTCCCAAAGTGCTGGGATTACAGGCGTGAGCCACCGCGCCCGGCCAGTGGCATTTAGTATATTTGCAATACTGTGCCGCCATCACCGCCATTTATCACCAAAACATTCTCATCACCCCCAAGAGAAACCCCATCCCGGGCAGTTGCTCCTGCCTCCCGCACCCCCCGGGAACCAAGAGTCTCCTTCCTGTCTCAGCGGATTGGCCTGTCCTGGACATTTCCTACAAGTGGAACCCTACATTGTGTGGCCGTTCGTTCCTGCCTTCCCTCACTGAGTGCGAGGTTTTGAAGGCTCATCTCTATTGTAGCCGGTGTCAGTGCTGCTTCCCTTTTGATGGCTGATTTTTTTATTCATTGTGATGTCTAAGAATATTGTATTAGAATACTGTGTATTAGAATATTACGCAGTAATATTCTAATATTAGAAGACTGTGTGTATTAGAATACTGTGTGTTTTACTTAGTGTCATTAGAATACTGCGTATTAGAATATTACACAGTAATATTCTAATATTAGAAGACTGTGTGTATTAGAATACTGTGTGTTTTACTTATTGTCATTTACCTTGACGACTGGGTTTTTTGGCTCTCACTTACATTTTGCACCTGAGGCTCGTGACTCAGTCTCCTTCCCCTACTTCTGTCCGGGTGACCACGGAGATGGGCACACAGTGAGCCTTCAGGAAATGCCTGGCGAAGCCATCGCCAAGTTCCAGAGACCCAGCCAGACCCAAAGGGCTGAACCATCCCCCTGAGTCCGTGTGTCAGACCTTGGTGGTGACCTACAGAAGTGGAAGCCCGCTCCCCGTGTCTGGGCTCCGGCCCCTGCCTCCACGGGGCCTACCTTGGTGCTGAAGGGCTGTTAGATCCAGGCTGTCACCAACTTTAAAAAATCAAAGGGATTCAGGGGAAAAGGCAGCCTCCCTATGGCAATAGGGGGACCCAGGCACGGGGGCCGTGCCACCTCTGTCCTTGGTGTCTCTTTGCAGGTACGCAGGCCCCATGGAACGGGCAGGGGCAGAAAGCATCCTCGCCAACCGCTCAGACGGGACTTTCTTGGTGCGGCAGAGGGTGAAGGATGCAGCCGAATTTGCCATCAGCATTAAGTAACTCCTCTCTCCCTGACCCATACCCTTTTGGGGCCTGGGCTCTGCAGGCCTGGGAAAAAGGATAGCCAGGGTTTACTTTATAGAAGTGTGCAGTAATAACGTCCACCTTTTACTGAACCCCTGCTGGGTCCCAAGTGCCTTTCACCTTTCTTATTTCTTTTAATTGACAACCACAAGAAAGAGATATGATTCCTATAGAGGCTCAAAAAGGCTTTTAAAAATTAATTGAGTCAGAATCTCCCTCTGTCGCCCTGATCTTTCTTTTTTCCCTTTTCTTTCTTTCTTTTCTTTTCTTTTCTTTTCTTTTTTTTTTTTTTTTTTTGAGACAGAGTCCCTCTGTCACCCAGGCTGGAGTGCAGTGGTGTGATCTCAGCTCACTGCAACCTCCGCCTCCCAGGTTCAAGCGATTCTCCTGCTTCAGACTCCCGAGTAGCTGGGATTACAGGTGCCTGCCACCTCGCCCAGCTGATTTTTGTAGTTTTAGTAGAGATGGGGTTTCTCCATGTTGGCTAGCCTGGTCTCAAACTCCTGACCTCAAGTGATCCACCTGCCTTGGCCTCCCAATGTGCTGGGATTACAGGCATGAGCCATCGTGCCTGGCCTGAAGGCTTTTATTTTTAACCAATTTTCATATATATATATCTTTTTCTTTTTTTTTAATTTCCAGGAATTTCTAATTTTTAAAAATTTATTTTATTATTATTATTATTTTTTATTTTTTATTTTTTTGTGACAGAGTCTCTCTCTGTTGCCCAGGCTGGAGTGCAGTGGTGTGATCTCAGCTCACTGCAACCTCTACCTCCCAGGTTCAAGCGATTCTTCTGCCTCAGCCTCTTGAGTAGCTGGGATTACAGGTGCATGTCACCATGCCTGGCTAATTTTTTTGTATTTTTAGTAGAGACAGTGGGGTGGTGGGGGCAGGGCAGTTTCACCATGTTGGCCAGGTTGGTCTCAAACTCCTGACCTCAGATGATCCACCCGCTTCGGATTCCCAAAGTGCTGGGATTACAGGCGTGAGCCACTGTGCCTGGCCGATATTGTTCCCATCTTTATGTCCATGTGTACCCAATGTTTAATCCCTGCTTATAAGTGAGAACATGGGCTATTTGGTTTTCTGTTTCTGTGTTAATTGGCTTAGGATAATAACACCCAGTGCATCCACGCTGCCGCAGTACACATGATCTTATTCTTTTTTATGGCTGTATAGTATTCCCATAGTGTATATGTACCACATTTTCTTATCCAGTCCACTGTTGATGGGCACCTGGGTTGACTCCAGGTCTTTGCTATCGTGAGTGGTGCTGTGACGAACATACGAGGGCGTGTGTCTTTTTGACAACACGATTACTTTCTCCTTTGGATAGATACCCAGTCCTCGGGTTGCTGCATCAAATGGTGGTTCTATTTTTAGTTCTTTGAGAAACCTCCAAACTGCTTTCCACAGTAGCTGAACCAATTTACATTCCAACCCACAGTGCAGAAGAATTCCCTTCTCTCACATGTTGCTGAGTGTGTAATTTCGTTTTTATTTTTGGCTCCTGTGAATTTCCCTTACTTTTATATTCTGTTTATCTTTTTTTTTTTAGAGCGTTCAGCTTTTTTTTTTCTCAACATTTCTAGGGTTTTTGTAATGGGAAGCGGTTTTTGTTGTTGTTGTTGTTGTTTGTGTGTTTGTTTGTTTTTGATCTAGTTTGCCAGATAAGCAGGAGTGGAGGTCTCCTCCAAGGCCCCTTTTAGTCTATGTCCACCATATTGACAGAAATGGGTTTCTCCTCCCTCTTCCTTTATATCCTGTGGTCGTCTATATTGGTGGAAGGGGAGGTCTCTTCCTGTCTATTCTAGAACACTGCTTTCTTTACAAGGCCCTACTGACTTCTCAACAAACCTGTGAGTCAGGGAAGATGATTCCTCTTCTACGAGAGGAAGACATGAAGGCTTAGAGTAGCAAAGGCCCCAAGGAATGGGTTCTGTTGGGACAGCTTCAGGGTTTGGGTTCCAGCAGTTACTCTTCCCTGAAAGGGTCAAGGTTGCTTCTTCCGTGACTGGGGCTTGGTGGGGAACGGGCCTGGTCCCTGGACTCAGGGCCCGGTGACCATCTGGTTCCAGATATAACGTCGAGGTCAAGCACATTAAAATCATGACAGCAGAGGGACTGTACCGGATCACAGAGAAAAAGGCTTTCCGGGGGCTTACGGTAAGGACCAACGTCCGCTCAACCCCAGCTTTCCAGAACCTAGGAGGACCCTCCCTGCACCTGAGGCTTGGGACCTCCTTTTCCTACATTCAGGGTGACACCCCTGCAGTGGCACTGCAGTGCAAGTGACCTTAAATTTATGTTCTTAATGATGAACAATGGGAGTAATAATGACTAACAGCAGTTGAGTATTGACAGAGCATTTAAGTGTAAGATATATTAATTTTTAAATTTTATTTATACATATATATGTATGTTATGTATATATGTATGTGCGTATATATGTATATATACATATATGTATGTGCGTATTTAAATTTTACTTACATATATACACATACATATGTATACATACATATGTAGTATATATGTATATATGTGTGTCTGTTTATTTATATAGATAGATTGAGAGAGAAAGAGAGAGTCTTGCTCTGTTGCCCAGGCTGGAGTGCAGTGGTGCAATCATAGTACACTGCAGCCTCAAATTCCTGGGCTAAATAATCCTCTCGCCTCAGCCTCCTGAGTAGCTGGGACTATAGGCATGCACCATCATGCCTGGCTAATTAAAAAAAATTTTTTTTGTAGAGATGGGGACTTGCTTTGTTGCTCAGGCTGGCCTTGAACTCCTGGGCTCAAATAATCCTTCTGTCTTGGCCTCCCAAAGTGTTGGGATTAGAGGTGTGAGTTACTGCATTCAGCCCTCAAATATGTTATAGATAGGAACCTAATTAATCCCCTCAACCTTCTGAGTTCCCATTTCACAGATGGGTAAAACTGAGGTTTACTCCTCATCTAGCTTCACTGAATGGCAGACCTATAGCTTGTCTTTGCCTAATCTGCTGCATAATTGTTTCGGCAATAACTCAAATGCCTTTTGAATGTTCTTGCTTCTGTTTGGTGCCTTGTAATTTTCAGCCATAGTTTAGACATTTTTAGGCCTAGTGGTCTAAGGCATATGGTTTTTATCCATGGTCTGTGAGCCCTTGAGAAGCTGAGTCCTCTGAAAGAAAGTCCACAATTGTGCATGCATCTATGTTTTTTGTCTTAGATTTCACTCGATTCACAAATGGATCCTTGACTCCCCCAAAGGTTAATTTATTCAACAAATCTCTTTTTTCCTCCATACTTTTTATTCTGAAACACGTTCCCCCAATTTTTAACTTCTGAAAAATTTCAGACAAGTTGTTGGAATAGAGTAATCAGTATCTATGAACCTTTCATATAGGTTTACTTTAAAAAAAAAATACAAGAGACAGAATCTTGCTCTGTGGCCCAGGCTAGAGTACAGTGTTGTGATCATAGCTCACTGTAGCTTCAAACCCCTGGGCTCAGGCGATCCTCCTTCCTCAGCCTCCTGAATAGCTGGGACTACAGGCATGCACTGTCATGCCTAGCTAATTTTTTAGTATTTTGTAGAGATGGGATCTTGCTATGTTGCCCAGGCTGGTCTTGAACTCTTGGCTTCAAGTGATCCTCCCACGTTGGCTTCCCAAGGTGCTGAGATTACAGGCATGAGCCACTGCATCTGGCCCAATGATGATTGTTAATTGTAAATTAAGGCACGTGGCACCCATAGAAGGTTTCAAATCTGGCGAGCTAATTATCTGGTAAATTGATCACGAAGTGAATTAGTCCACTATTAGAAGAACTTGTTTTAGGCAATGTGGTGCCTTCCCCATAAATGGTCCTGGCTGCTCAGGAAGGTGATGAACTCCCCATCATGGGGGGCATTCAAGGGGTCACTTGCCAAAGAGGCCAGAGGCAGGGCCTGCTTCATATGAAGAGATGGCTCTTCCTAGCTCTTCCCCTTTATGGACTGGCCTGCTGGGATAGCATCTGCCATGTTGTCCGCCTTCTAGGAGCTGGTGGAGTTTTACCAGCAGAACTCCCTAAAGGATTGCTTCAAGTCTCTGGATACCACCTTGCAGTTCCCCTTCAAGGAGCCTGAGAAGAGGACCATCAGCAAGCCAGCAGGTAGGAGGTCTCAGACTGGGGGCTTACAGCCCCAGCCCCTTCCCATTGTGGAGGGAAAGTTTGGGGATGACACTGACACCCCTTCCAATGGGTTTGCAGAGCTCGTATCTGTGCAGTAGCAGGAACCCCTTTCCACTCCTGTCTATCCCTTCATACATATATATACATACATATATATACACGTATATATATATATATGTATTTTTTTTTTTTTTTTTTTTGAGACAGAGTCTCACTCTGTCGCCTAGGCTGGAGTGCAGTGGTGCAATCTTAGCTCACTGCAACCTTTGCCTCCCACCTCCCAGGTTCAAGGGATTCTCATGTCTCAGCCTCAAAATAAAAAAATAAAAATAAAAATTCAAAAACAGTTTTATTTTCCGGCTGGGCGCGGTGACTCACACCTGTAACTACAGCACTTCGGGAGGCCAAGGCGGGTGGATCACTTGAGGTGAGGAGTTCAAGACCAGCCTGGCCAACATGGTGAAGCCCCATCTCTACTAAAAACATAAAAATCAGTCGGGCATGGTGGCACAGGCCTGTAATCCCTGAGGATATTCAGGAGGCTGAGGCAGGAGAATTGCTTGAACCCGGGAGGCAGAGGTTGCAGTGAGCTGAGATTGTGCCATTGCACTCCAGTCTGGGCAACAGAGCGAGACTCTATCTCAAAAAAAAAAAAAAAAAAAAAAAAAAGGCTTATTTTCTAAATTTGAATGGGAGGATGATGCTGGGAGTACAGTTGTACCCCCTTACAGCAGAGGGCATCTAATACTCTGCAACGAAGAGCACTGATAACTCCTTTACCCTGGAGTTACCATCCCAAGAGCTTGTGCCCCCCGACAGTGAGTGCGTATCTGCCCCAGACCCTTTTCTCAGTTCTGTTCTCTCTCCACAGTGGGAAGCACAAAGTATTTTGGCACAGCCAAAGCCCGCTATGACTTCTGCGCCCGGGACCGATCAGAGCTGTCGCTCAAGGAGGGTGACATCATCAAGATCCTTAACAAGAAGGGACAGCAAGGCTGGTGGCGAGGGGAGATCTATGGCCGGGTGAGTCAGGCAGGGCTGGGTGACAGGGGGAAGCCATGGGGGTTGACCTGGTGGTGGAGGGGACAGGAATTGGGGACTGGAGAAGGTGAGGTGTGGCTCCCGTGGAGGTCTTTCCTGGTTGGAGGGAAGGAAGGGACACAGGGATGTCATTTATGCATTTATGCAACCTATCTGCATGTATTGAGCACCTGCTGTGTACAGACATGGTGCTGGGTGCCAAGGAGATAGAAACAAGCACGGTACAAGGACTGCTCTCATGAAACTTATAATCGAATGTGGAGGACAGACTTATAACCAAGCAGTCATGACGCTGAGTGGTCAAGATTAACAAGGGTGCTGGTCACGGTGGCTTATGCCTGTAATCCCAGTGCTTTGGGAGGCTGAGGTGGGAGGATCTCTTGAGACCACAAATTCGAGACCAGCCTGGCTAAAATAGTGAGATCCCACCTCTCCATAAATAAAAGTAAAAACATTAGTTGGGTGTGGTAGTGTGTGCTTGTAGTCCCAGGTACTCGGGAGGCTGAGGTGGGAGGATTGCTTGAGTCCAGGAGTTGGAGGCTGCAGTGAGCTATGATTGTGCCACTGCACTCCAGCCTGGGCAACAGAACAAGACCCTGTCTTTAAAAAAAAAAGAAAGAGGCTGGGCGCGGTGGCTCACGCCTGTAATCCCAGCACTTTGGGAGGCCGAGGTGGGTGGATCACGAGGTCAGGAGATCAAGACCATCCTGGTTAACACGATGAAACCCCGTCTCTACTAAAAATACAAAAAACATTATCTGGGCGTGGTAGCGGGCGCCTGTAATCCCAGCTACTTGGGAGGCTGAGGCAGGAGAAAGGCGTGAACCCAGGAGGCGTAGCTTGCAGTGAACCAAGATCACGCCACTGCACTCCAGTCTGGGTGACAGAGCGAGACTGTATCTCAAAAAAAAAAAAAAAAAAGAAAGAATAAAAGAGATTGTGGTGGAAAATCGCAGGGCAGAGTGGGAGCACTGAGGGAGCCCCTGACCCAGCCTAGGAGCAGATCAGGATGACTTCTGAAAGGCCAAACTGATTAATAAGGGATAAATAAAGTCATCCAAGTGAAAAGGTTGTAGATGTGTTGGGGGAAAGTGTTCCAGACAGAAGGACCAGCGTGTGCAAAGGCCCTGGGGTTAGAGGGTGATTGGCATGTTTGGAAAACATCGAGGCAGGGATCCTTGTCTGTCTTGCTCACTGCAACATCACACCAGTGCTTGGGACAGCGAGTGCCTGGTACACAGTAGGTGCCCAATCAGTACTGAATGTACAAAGAGGTAGAGCTGGGACTAAACCACTGTGCTCACTTGCCTGCTTGAATTCCGACTCTAAGGAGTGGAATAGACTTTGGGGCTCTTCAAGTCCACTTGTTTCTGCCAAGTTCTTATTTTTGTTCCATGAAGGCAGAGCACCTTCTTTATTTTATCCACTGATGACTTCTCAGTCTCTAGAATTCCGCCTTGATTACGATGATTTCTTAGAAATATTTGTGTGATGATGACAAAGACAGTGGTTAAAGCTTACATTCTCCTGGGGAAAACATACAAGAAAAAAATGATCTGGATAACTGCATAGATGAGGAGTTTTAAAACATTGGAGGGTCAGTTTAATGAGCAGTGGAGGACAATTAGGGTTTGAGAGAGGCTTTTGGAGCATTGAGGAAGGATTGGGATGTAAAGGATTCATTCATCTGTCCATCCATTTATCCATCCATCCATCCATCCACAAATCATCCATTCATCTGTGCATCCATCCATCTCAACCTATGCATCTATCCATTCATCCACCCACCCTTCCATTCACCTATCTATTCATCCATCCACCTACTCACTCATTAAAACAATCTATCCATTAATCCACCATCCATCCAACATCTATTCACCCATTTCTGTCTGTGCGTCCATCCATCTATCTATGCATGCAGCCATCTGTTAATCTATCTCTATAGTTATCCATCCATCTACCTACCCATCAGGCCATTAATTCATCCATCCATCCATCCAACCACCATCCACCAAAGCATGTATCCATCCACCCATTCATCTATCCATCCATCCATCCATCCATCCCCTATCCATTATCTATCGATCGATCTATTATCTATCTATCTATCTATCTATCTATCTATCTATCTATCTATCTATCTATCTTTCTACCTATCCACCTACTCATCAATCCAATAATCCATCCATTCATCTATCCATCCATCCAACAAATATTCATTTAGTATCTACTGTGTGCCAAGAACTGTTCTAGGCTCTTGGGATTCAGTGACAATTAATACAGACAAAAATCCCTGCTGGCCAGGCATAGTGGCTCATGCTTGTAATCCGAGCACTTTGGGAGGTCAAGGTGGGTTGATCACTTGAGGAGAGGAGTTTGAGACTCGCCTGGTCAACATGGTGAAACCCTGTCTCAACTAAAGATACAAAAAAATTAGCTGGGTGTGGTGGCATGCACCTGTAATCCCAGCTACTCGTTAAGCTGAGGCAGGAGAATTCCTTGAACCCAGGAGGCGGAGGTTGTGGTGAGCCAAGATCGTGCCACTGCACTCCAGCCTGGGCAACAGAGTGAGATTCTGTCTCAAAAAAAAAAAAAAATTTCTCCCTTGTAAAGCTCACATTGTAGTTGCAGGGAGGGGAACAGACATAAAGCTTGTAAATAAGCAAATGATACATAATGAATCCAATGGTGATAGGTGCTATAGAGAAAGATAAAGCAAAAAATGGGGTCCAGGCGCGGTGGTTCACGCCTGTAATCCTAGCATTTTGGGAGGCTGAGATGGGCAGATCACCGGAGGTCAGAAGTTTGAAACCAGCCTGGCCAACATGGTGAAACCCCGTCTCTATTAAAAATACAAAACAATTAGCCAGGTGTAGTGGCAGGCGCCTGTAATCCCAGCTAATCGGGAGGCTGAGGCAGGAGAATCACTGGAACCCAGGAGGTGGAGGTTGCAGTGAGCTCAGATTGCACCATTGCACTCCAGCCTGGGAGACAGAGTGAGACTCCGTCTCAAAAAAAAAAAAAAAAAGAAAAGAAAAGAAAAAGGAAAGGGGCTAAGGAGTGAGTGTTGGGGCGGGTGGAGCTTGCAATTCTGAATAGGGTGGCTACGAATGCCTTGCTGATAAAGTGACATTTAGGGAGGGACTTTTAGGAGGTAATGGGTGTGTGTGTATGTGTGTCTGTGTGTGTGTCTGTGTGTGTATGTCTGTGTCTGTGTGTGTATGTCTGTGTCTATGTGTGTGTGTGTGTATCTATGTGTGTGTGTCTGTGTGTGTGTCTGTGTATGTGTGTGTCTATATGTGTATGTGTGTGTGTCTGTGTGTGTGTGTGTCTATGTGTATGTCTGTGTCTGTGTGTGTGTATCTGTGTGTGTTGTGTGTCTATATGTGTATGTCTGTGTGTGTCTATGTGTGTGTGTCTGTGTCTGTGTGTGTGTGTGTGTGTCTGTGTGTGTATGTGTGGTCAGCCTTGGGTATGTTGGGTGATGTGTTTTCTGGGGTAGAAGGAGTAGCAGGTGCAAAGGCCCTGAGGTGGGAGGGAGTCTGCCTGGTGTGTGGAGGGGCAGTAAGAGGATGTGCGGAGGCTGCTCTGATGAACTCCTCATCTGTTTCCAGGTTGGCTGGTTCCCTGCCAACTACGTGGAGGAAGATTATTCTGAATACTGCTGAGCCCTGGTGCATTGGCAGAGAGACGAGAGACTCCAAGCTCTGAGCCCGGCGTGGGCAGGCAGCGGGGCCAGGGGCTGTGACAGCTCCCAGCAGGTGGAGACCTTGGGATGGACTGGAGGAGGCCAGTGTCCGGCTGGCGGTGCTCCCGGGATGTGCCCTGTCACGGTTAATTTATAACACCCGATTTCCTCTTGGGTCCCCTCAAGCAGATGGGCTCAAGGGGTTTACATTTAATAAAAGAATGAAGATGGATGGAAGCCCTGGCGTCGTTCAGAAGGACCTGCCAGGAGAGAGATGGGGAAAGAGTGTGCCACACCAACAAAGCTCCTCACCAATCACAGAGACCCTCACCAATCCACAGACAAAGCCCCTAACCAATCACAAAGCCCCTCACCAATCCACAGACAAAGCCCCTCACCAATCCACAGACATAGCCCCTAACCAATCACAAAGCCCCTCACCAATCACAAAGCCCCTCACCAATCACAAAGCCCCTCACCAATCACAAAGCCCCCTCACCAATCACGTACAAAGGCTCTTCAGCAACCACAGACAAAGCCCCTCACCAATCAGAAAGCCCCTCACCAATTTCTGTCTCCCAACTTGATTGCTGTTCTCTGTCATTTATTAATACAATACAACTTGAATCTGGGATATGAAATTCCTTCTTTTGGGCTCGGCGTGGTGCTTCATGCCTGTAATCCCAGCACTTTGGGAGGCCGTGGTGGGCAGATCACATGAGGTCAGGGAGCTCAAGACCAGCCTGGCCAACATGGCAAAACCCTGTCTCTAATAAAAATACAAAAACTACATGGTGCCTATAATCCCAACTACTTAGGAGGCTGAGGCAGGAGAATCGCTTGAACCTGGGAGGCGGAGGTTGCAGTGAGCCGAGATTGCACCACTGCACTCCAGCCTGGTCAACAGAGACTCCATCTCATAAACAAACAAACAAACAAACAAATAAAGCAGGAATTTGCCAGGTGCAGTAGCTCATGCTTGTAATCCCAGCACTTTGGGAGGTTGAAGTGGGCGGATCGCCTGAGGTCAGGAGTTCAAGACCAGCCTGGCCAATATGGTGAAACCCCATCTCTACTAAAAATACAAAAACTAACCGGGCGTGGTGGTGGGTGCCTGTAATCCCAACTACTCGGGAGGCTGAGACAGGAGAATCACTTGAACCCAGGAGGCAGAGGTTGCTGTGAGCCGAGATCATGCCACTGCACTCCAGCCTGGGTGACAGAGCAAGACTCTGTCTCAAAAAAAAAAATAAATAAATAATACAAAAAATTAAAAAATAAATAAATGAAAATAAATAAAAGCGAGAATTTCTTTTTTATATACTCAAAGATTTTTATACTCAGGAAATAATTTTATACTCAAAGATTCAAGATCACAAAAATGTACTGCTCATTCGTTTTTCTTTCTTTTTAAATTATTTTATTTTATATTTTTCAGGGACAGAGTCTTACTCTGTTGCCCAGGCCAGAGCGCAGTGGCATGATCATAGCTCACTGCAGCCTCCACCTCCTGGTGTCAAGCGATCCTCCCACGTCACCTCCCAAGTAGCTGGGACTAAAAGCAAGCACCACCACACCCAGCTAATATTTTATTTTCTTTTTTGTAGGGAGGGGGTGTTGCTATGTCGGCCAGGCTGGTCTCGGATCTCATGGGCTCAAGCAGTCCTCTCACATTGGCCTCCCAAAGTGCTGGGATTACAGGTGTGAGCCACCGCACCTGGCCTCATTTGTTTTCCTTTTTGAGACAGAGTCTTGCTCTGTCACCCAGGCTGGAGTGCAGTGGTGCGATCTCGGCTTACTGAAACCTCCACCTCCCGGGTTCAAGTGATTTTCCTGCCTTAGTCTCCCGAGCAGCTGGGATTATAGGCATGTGCCACCATGCCCGGCTAATTTTTTGTGTTTTTAGTAGAGACGGGGTTTCACCATGTTGGCCAGCCTGGTCTGGAACTCCTGACCTCAGGTGATCCACCTGGCTTGGCCTCCCAAAGTGCTGGGATTACAGGGGTCAGCCACCGCGCCCGGCCATTTTTTATTTAATAGTCTTTACTAATTATTAAAGTTGCAGTAAAATATACATCACATGAAATTATCTTAACCATTTTTTTTTTTTTTTTTTTTTGACGGAGTCTCCCTCTGTCACCCAGGCTGGAGTGCAGTGGTGCCGTCTCAGCTCACTGCAAGCTCCACCTCCTGGATTCATGCCATTCTCCTGCCTCAGTCTCCCAAGTAGCTGGGATTACAGGTACCCGCCACCACGCTTGGCTAATTTTTTGTATTTTTAGTAGAGACGGGGTTTCACAATGTTAGCCAGGACGGTCTTGATCTCCTGACCTCGTGATCCACCCACCTTGGGCTCCCAAAGTGCTGGGATTATAGGCATGAGCCACAGTGCCTGTATTTTTTGTTTGTTTTTGTTTTCTTTTTGTTTGTTTGTTTCTGAGATGGTGTCTTGCTCTGTTGCCCAGGCTAGAGTGCAGTGGCGTGATCACAGCTCACTGAAACCTCCACCTTCCAGGTTGAAGCGATACTCCTATCTCAGCCTCCCTAGTAGCTGGGATTACAGGCACCCGCCACCGCACCCGGCTAATTTTTGTATTTTTCGTAGAGACGAGGTTTCACCATCTTGGCCAGGCTGGTTTCAAACTCCTGACCTTGTGATCCACCCTCCTCAACCTCCCAAAGTGCTGGGATGACAGGCGTGAGCCACTGCCCCTGGCCGATCTTAACCATTTTTAAGTGTTCAATAGTGTTAAGTACATTCATACTGTTGTGCAACCATCAGCACCATCCGTCTCCACAACTTTTTCATCTTGCAAAACTGAAACTCTGTCCTCATTAATCAACTCCCCATTCCTCTCTGCCTCTATCCCCTGGCACCTACTATCACCAGATTTTTGTCTGGAGTCCTTTAGAGCTTAGACTTGACTTTTCTTTTTTTTTTTTTTTTTTTTGAGACGGAGTCTCACTCTATCGCCAGGCTGGGATGCAGTGGTGGTGATCTGGGCTCACTGTAACCTCCGACTCCCAGGTTCAAGCGATTCTCTTGCCTCAGTCTCTCAAAAAGCTGGGAATACAGGCGCCAGCCACCATGCCCAGTTAATTTTTGTAGTTTTAGTAGAAATGGGGTTTCCCCATGTTGGCCAGGATGGTCTCGATCTCCTGACCTCATGATCTGCCCGCCTCGGCCTCCCAAAGTGCTGGGATTACAGGCGTGAGCCACCATGCCTGGCCCTTAGACTTTTTTTTAATGCTCATAAATTAAGATTCAGGATCTCCAAGGAAGATTTTGAAGTTTGAAAGCCAGGAAGGCTGAGGCCGGAGAATTGCTTCAGGCCAGGAGCTCGAGATCAGCCTGCACAATATAGTGAGACCTTCCTCTCTACAAAGAAAAAAAAAAAAAAGAAAAAAATTAGCTCTGCATGGTGGCACACAACTGTAGTCCCAGCTACTCAGGAGGCTGAGGTGGGAGGACTGCTTGAGCCCAGGAGGTGGAGGCTGTGGTGAACTATGATTGCACCACTGCACTCTAGCCTAGGCAACAGAGTGAGACCTCATCTCTAAAAACCAACCAGGCCAGGCGCGGTGGCTCACACCTGTAATCCTAGCATTTTGGGAGGCCGAGGCGGGCAGATCACTTGAGGTCAGGAGTTTGAGACCGGCCTGACCAACATGGTGAAATCTCGTCTCTGCTAAAAATACAAAAATTAGCCAGGCATGGTGGCAGGTGCCTGTAATCCCAGCTACTTGGGAGGTTGAGACATGAGAATCACTTGAACCTGGGAGGCGGAGATTGCAGTGAGCTGAGATTGCGCCACTGCACCCCAGCCTGGATGACAGAGTGAGACTCACTAATAATAGTAATAATAAATTAAAAATGAAGGGAAAGCTTTTTAGGGAGAGGTGCAAATGATAGTGATCCTGGGAGGTTCTGGGAACTTCGAGGGGTTCATTTTGCTTGGAGAGGGAGGAAAGTGGGGGTGGGGTGGGTGAAAAGTTGTTGGGAGACCGGGCACGGTGACTCAGGCCTATAATCCTAGCACTGTGGGAGGCTGAGGCAGGTGGATCACTTGAGGTCAGGAGTTCGAAACCAGCCTGGCCAACATGGTGAAACACCATCTGTACTTAAACAAAAAAAATACACACACACACACACACACACACACACACACACACATATATATATATATATATATATAATTAGCCGGGCTTGGTGGTGTGCACCTGTAATCCCAGCTACTCAGGAGGCTGTGGCAGGAGAATCACTTGAACCCAGGAGGGGGAGGTTGTAGTGAGCTGAGATTGCATCACTGCACTCCAGCCTGGATGACAGAGCAAGACCCCATCTCAAAAAAAAAAAAAAAAAAAAGGAAAAAGAAAAAGAAAAAGAAAAGAAAGGGTTGTTGGGAGTCGGATGAAGCCCAGGTGAGGCCTGATGCAAGATTTCCCTTCTTATGTGTCCCCGGGGGACCACGAAGAAAGAGGGAGTAACTGAATCCTGAAGGCATCTCGATGGAGGAAGCCACTTCTTGCAGGTGTGGTGGAGGTGATGAAGGGCCCTCGGTCAGCTCTGAGGGCCTCAGGTGTGCCCTGAAGCGGCCTCTGCTGATGGCTGGGGAGTTGGGTTTGAAGGAACAGCTGGTACCCCAGTATGCAAATACAGAGGTTCAAAGTTCACACAGCAGCCTCACAGTGCCCTAACTGGGTAGTCCTCTGGGGCTGGATGTCAGTTACTCCTGGCTGCCTGGAGGTGTGTGTGTGTGTTCATGTGCACACACACCCTGTATGAGTTTGCTAGACCTACATGCATAGCACATGCACACGCACACACATACACGCACATATGTGGACACACACACACAGTAGTAGTTTGCTAGACCCATCTGCGTGGCGCACACACATGCACACACATACACAAACATTTGTGCGCACACACAGACCCTATTAGTTTGCTGGACCCACAAGCGTGGCACATGCATACACACACGTGTGTGCACACACACATGCACCTGTGTGCACACACTGTATTAGCTTGCTAGACCTACGTGCATGGCACACACATGTGCACACACACAGGCGCTGTATTGGTTGTCTAGGGCTGCCATACCAAACCAGCACCACCAAAGTGTCTGAAACAACAGAAATGGATTCTCTCCCAGTTCTGGAGTCCAGAAGTCTAAGATCACGGTGTAGGCAGGGCCACACTCACCCTAATGGCTCCAGGGGAGGATCTCTT